GGAAGCCGCCTGCCTGCCTTCGGCCCCGGGGCCTCCGCGGGTCCGTGCCCCAGCCCCACGGGGAGCTACGCAGGTTACTCTGAAACGATAAGCGGTGATGGGAAGGAGGAATTATGCACCGGGAGGTGATTGAGTGTTTAGGGGAGGTGGCAGAGGGCCTGCGGGGGGGATGATGCAGGAGCTGCCGTTCGAGGCTATACGCCAAACCGGCAGCAAAGCCACACCGGGAGGGGCAGGGGGGGCTGCAGGAGGCGTAGCACCCAGGTCACCGGCATCTTTCTCCAGCAGCGTTGCTGCAAACATGGTGGTTCTGGTCATGCTGTACTTGCCTAATTAGCAAGGGACCCTGTGAGTGTAGATTTGCATAATATGCACTGGAAGTTAATCCGTTATCATCCACCCCCGTGCATTGCACATCGCTTCTGCCCTGTTCCGTACCTGACAGGGTAACTGAGTGGAGGCTGTTGCTTCTTTTCTTTTGTTTCAGTGCTAATCTGCTTTGAAGTAGGGATGCACTTACTGTCTTTCAGTATGATGAACAATTTGTTACCCATTAGATGTTGATCAGGCTGGCGGAATAGCTTCACCATTAGGCATAGCTATTGTATAAACCACCAGGCTAGAAATCATACTTGAATAATGAAAATTCATGTTCATAGAAGACAGACTGCAGTATGGGAGAGGAAAAGCTATTTTGCAAGAAAAGTACAAGCAAATTAAACTACTTATGCAAGAGGTGAAATGATGGAAGCAATGTTTTACAAAAGAACTGACTACACCAACCATGAGACCGATTCAGCTGGCAGTTCCCAGCGGGTTTGAATTGTACATAGCTCCTCATTTATTTAAAAAAACCCACCAAACATCTGAATGGTATTTCACTGTAAATGTCTAGGATTTAATCTGTGGTGCGTCAGGTGCTAACTCAGAAAACACAAGCAAACCTGGTTTTGGGGGAAAGAAAAAAAAAGACAATCAGATTCTTTCCCATCTGTGTGCACATACCTGCAAGTTCTTTGCAGGCAGCAAATTAAACCTGAAGACCATTCCACACCCTGTAGTGCTTAACTTTGCTGTATTTGTCCAGAAATGAAATTTCCTGTTGTGCAAAATAGCTATGCACCAGCAAAGTCCCAGGTACTCTTTCAAACAAAGCTCTCCCTATGAGCAGTTCTGCATTAAGAATCTTGAATAGAAACCTTGTCATGAGGATTCATGGAAGAGAAGTTGAAGTCCTTGAGGTAGAGAGGTCTGAACAGCAGGTGAAGAAGGGCAGCTGTACTTCATAGCGGTAATAATGGGAAAAAAACAAATTAAACCTTTTTAAAATGTTAAGTTTCTTCCTCTTATTTCCCTTTTCTTTTCCCCCAATTTACAGCTTCCCATATGGCTTTCTAAACTTATTTAATCCACAGAAAATAAGTGAAATATTTTTTATCCTTATTCAACATCATGCATGAGAGGCTGCTTTTTTAATAGGAAATTCTTAGAAGATTCTTTAAGACTTAGTATCCAGGAGCCTGATTTTATTCATACAGGGTGGAAGAACTAAGGAGTGCTGCTCTGCTCTCTTCTCATGCAAGAGAAGGGAGGTAAAAATGGTTATATGCCCTCTTCCTACCGCCTGCATTTGGCTTGGTTGTGGCGGAGTGCACACACATTAGTAAGAGCTGTCATTTACAGCAGGGTTCCAGTGATACTTGTTGGCTCCAATCTCATGTTTCAGTGGTGCATGGCTCTTGGCACTGCGCTTGTCCTTTCTGGAACCTCGAGTGCCTCTTAAAATAGAGCCTGTGAAAAAGAGCAGGATAAAGCTGGTAGCACTGTCGCTCTGGCCCGTCAGACTTACTGGAGCAGTGAATTGGGAGAGCATGATGGAAAACATCTTCCCAAAGAACTACTGAGACGAGGCTTTTATATCCTTTGATCAAATCCTGCTGCCTTGGATGTTCAAGAGTTCTCCGTGGTTTAGCTGGAATATTAGCCTAATTAGTGGTCTGTTCCTGAAAATCCTGTTGACAGTAAATGCGTGACAAGATATTCGCCTTACCTGTGTTCATTTTGTCCTCTCTGTCTATTCAGTGCTGCTTTCAGAGAGTGAATTTCTCAAGTGATCCCTTAGTAGTCCTAAAGCAGCTGATTTTGGATGTAAATTGTGTTAGAAATGCTCCATCTTCATGTAAAAATGTAGTTCTAGTAGTGAAATTGTAATTGTTTTGGTGGGATTTTCTTCTAAGAAACTCTTGCTTTTTCAGCTTTTACAGTGAAGCTTTCTGTTCTTGCAGGTCCCAAAGGGAACTGCAGTTACTCAGATCTAATACCGTTCGATTATTCAGGATCTAACTGTTCTGTTGGCAAGAGATTGAACTATCTTGCCAGCAATTAGAAGATCTATACTGGAACTAAATTGAACAGAGGCGCCATGCAAATGTATTACTGGAAAGCTCATCAGTCAGCAGATGAAATGCTGCACAAATTCGTATGCAGGCTGTGATTGTTATTGGTAAAAGCATGGAGGAAGTTGGAAATTTTGTCATGGATACCAAACACTGATTTGAGACAACTTCAGAGTATTCTCAAAGGACTGCTTTCTTTTAAAAACAATTCCAGAAAGTTACTAACAGTGTTTTAAATGAGAGTAAAGACAAATAAATGTACACTCAGCATCTGGGAAGCAAAGTGTTTACTCTTTAATAGGGATGATCTTGCTGGTAAAATATGCATCTGAGTGGTTGTACAGACAAAAGCAAGCACTTCATGGTGTTAAGTTAGAGTTGACTTGATTGTGGGAGTTTTGCTTGAGTAACAGAGAGGGACACCAGGCAGTTCTTAAGAAGGGCTGCAAAAAAGTTTTTACTTTAATGTTCAGATGCCTAAGCATCTTATAAGTAAAAAGATTAATGACACTTCAGCAGCAGCAGTAAGATATATGCTAACAGTGATAGAAGCCTTACAAAAACTGTGAAATTACAGAATATTCACATTTTAGTAAGATCTGAGACTTCAGGGTACATCAGTTTGAATCACAATTTCTAATGCTGTGTCAGAGTCAGGCCAGCCAGCCAGTTCAGAACTGCCATGTTGGCTGTCTTGAAAATGTCATTCAAGTATTTAATAGGGCTTCATTAGGTTTACTGTTTTAGGAGCTGGTGATGGGGTTGGGGAGGTGGGGAGCAAATGCTGTCTAGTTTTGCCACATCTGTGGCACGTTTGTGACACATCTTGAATTTATAAGAAAAAAGCTAAACTACCGACCAGCTGGTTGTGACAAAAATACTAGCTTTAAAATAGAAGTAGAACTGCCTGTCTTAGCTTATTTGTTTCTCCAGATTACTTGAAGCATTTGATTACTTTCCACTCGCTTGTCATTCCTACAGATTCATAACAGAGGCTCAGACAGTCCACCCCCACTAATCCTTCCACCCTCCAGAGCAGCTACGCCAAATGCAGGGAACCTGGAAGCTGTGGAATACTTTCCCAGTGATGGTCCCATTTTGAGACGTTTTCAGTAATTATTACTAGCTCTAAAGGGCATCGCAGAGGTCAGTGATAAATTCCTCACTTCCTGGTTTTCAGAGCTTTGACTGTAACTCAGTGTTATGGAAAAGCAGCTGTAACAGAATTTCTGCATTAATTACATTTTAGAGTACTTAATTGTAGCTAAGGACAAGCACGTGCAATCAAGTCTTTTTCCCATGCTCGCAGCCTCTCCCTCTTGCCAATGAGCTCCACTTTTGTCTTGTGAGCCTGCTGTGACTTCAGTCCAGATGTTTCTCTGCCAAGAGATTGAAAAAACAGGAACATCACAAAATCCAGATTTAGTCAAAAGAAAAGATACAGACTTGGAAACAGCATATTGAAGGCGCCTTAGTTAAAATATTTAGTTCTTCTGTGAGGACTTCAAATTCTGAGAGGATGGAAATGACTACAAAGAACCATGCAGAGTTTCATGTGTCAGAGCAATGATGGGAAGCCTGTGAGAAGCAGCTGCAAATTTCTGCCAGGCTGCTTGTTGCTGCAGTGCCTGTAAGATGCCTTTCGGTCAGGCAGTAGTGTGGAAGGCTGTCAGCCTACTAAAAATGAGCTTGAATAGCTTGCTGTGGACTAAAGATGCAAATAATGCACGATTGTCTTCAGTCTGCTTCTTAGATAGGCCTAAAAGTAGAGAGACAGGAGGCATGTCCTTCTGAAATAGTCCGAGAAGCAAACCTTCAGTGTTCTACATAGAGTGGTTTTATGCTGCCATCTCAAAGTGGTGTAGGTGTACACTGCTGCACAGGTACTCTCATGATTCTTAAACTTTGATGGTGTGCTTTTGCTACTGTTTTTTTAAACTTACGAACTTTGATTCAAGACCTTTACCCTCAAGGCGTCGCAGCACTTAACATGCTTTGCTGTTTGGCCACAAGTATTAACTTGACCTATTGGTATGAGGAATCTTACTGTTACTAGATTGATTTCTTATGTTCAGCATTTTTAAATCTTTTTTTCTTTGCAAACCTAATGTTCTGATAAGATAGAAGAAGGTAGGGCACTGAGAAACGAATTTGGGGCTGTCTGCGTGTCTGAAAATAAAATCTGGCACTCAAAATAGAGTAGCAGGAAAATCTTCAGTATTGGGATCACTATAAATAATTTTTGTTAAATAATAGCTTATATAAGATATTTTGTAGTAGTGCCAGTTGTAAGATAACCAACATGAAATCTGTCTTTAATTGGCTGGTGCCAGTTGTTTGACAGTGTGTGGGATAAACCAAGTGACTTAGTCTTGCGTATACCAGCCTGATGTCCCACTGCTGTAAGAGCTTCTTTTCTGTAGTCAGCACTGGCAGAGGGAAGCGTCCAAACTGAGCTGCCCGTTGACTGAGAGGGCAGGGGCTTGTGCCCGTGGGTCTGCCTGCTCTGTGCTTAAGCTGCAAGGAGAGAGCTTCCATTTTCCAGACCACTTCAAATTAGTGTGCTGCTAAAACTTGGGAAGGAGTATGTGAGGGGGTTTTGGAGGGAATTCTCATGCTAGAAGCAAAATAATTATGTATCATGGGAAATCCTGTAATCCCTACCTTTCTACCCAGAAGATAGGGCAGGCAGCTAGGTGGGATTTTACTGCTCAGTTTCCACAGATACTGTAAAGCTATAATCTGCCGAGCGTGGTCCCCGGGATCAGTTTGCTACTCCAGTTCACCATGAGGCTACACAAACACTCATATGAATGCCACCGGAACCTGGGCAGCTTGGAGCAGATGAGTAGGCAGGGGCAGTGGTCCAAAGCTGCCGCCCTTTCTGCCTACCTGTGCCCTCCCTCAACTGCGTATCAAGTCGTGGTCGAATAGCCTAAGTGGAACTTACAGCAAAAGAAGAAAAGTGGCTAGCACAGCCACTTTGTGCACCAGGAGCTTGCTGCGGGCACAGTAGAACAAAGTTGCTGTATTTAGGTAGCGATTATGTTGGCCTGCTGCACTGCTGTGCTTGTTAAAAGTAAATCGTGACAAATGCAATCATTTCTGATCAATAGAATCTGTATGAACGTTAACAGCAGGACAGCTGCTAGGGCTTGAAAACACTGTCACACGTGTCTGACATAGTATGTCAGAGTATCGTCAGAAGCTGCCTGCACTCCAGCATCGCTTCTCCACAGTGCGCTGTAGATCACGTCCTCTGGAAATGGAGTCTTACTGGTGCTGTTTGTACTGAAACTCTCCTATGCAGCTTTGTGTGCATTTGCTAGGAATTGGGTTTTATATTTGCTAACAGATATGCTATTGTATCCATATTAAAATGTACAGAGAACTGTTCTAAGCTTTATAGCTGATCACCTTCATATGTTTGGGCTGCCTTGGTGTGGAACAATACTGACATTCAGTGGTTGATTATACTCACCACCGTTGTGTGACTATCCAGGAGATTTTGGAGGGTTTTAATGTTCAGCACTGGCTAAATTCAGAGCATGTTTAGTTAAACTGGATTAAAGCAATCGTGACAAGGCTCCTTCATAAGAATGCTGTGCTCACAGTATTAAAATTGTCTGTTTTTTTAACAAACTAAATTAGAGATTAATTTGGTCTGTGAGAGATACAGTGGAAACACGCAGTAACTTTTTGTAGCTTTGTTTCCTTTCCCACTCTAAAGCAAATTGGCCATCAGTTTCCAAAAGAACTTCATCTTACATACTGTATTAGCTTAGTTGGATTTTTCTGCCCACGTTTTGACTATTGGTCTTTCTGTGTCTACCACCATAGACCGTGTGTTCTTAGCAGGCAGTATGTAAGACCTGGCAGGGCCCCAGCAAAGATGAGTGCATTGCTGTCATGCATGTGAAGAAGCAGCTGGAGTTTAGAGTTGGAAGAACTGGATCTTGGCTCCTTTCCCACATCTGCTGACTTAGGTGGAGAGAAATAGCGTGCTAACTACGTTCTTTAGTAGTCCTTTTTCACCTTCTCTGGTGAGCTTTGGAAGACATACTTTTGTTTTGTTGAGAGCTGCAGGGCCAGACCATTTTTCAGTGTTACAAGTGCGTTGGGAGGTCAGCCTAGTGCTCTGGGCAGTTTAGATTCAGGCATGGCTCACTGTGGATGGAGCTAAGTGCTTAATCCAGCATTTTGGAATGAGGCTTAATCATACGCTGTTTAGACTCTTTAATATCTCTGTGGGACTGGGCCATTTACATCTAGATGCTCTGTGCCATCTTCACATTTGTGTGCCAGATTTAATGTTAGAAAATGAGCAAATTGTATCTGCATTTTATGGCATGATCCTGGCCAAACATCCTAAGATTAATGAAAACAATGATAGGTTTTTGGTAGATGTGTTTGACTTCTCTTGGACATGCAGAGTTGATGGTGGTCTTCCTGTTTTGAGGTGTGCACGCCCTGCTTGGTCTCTTTCCAATCATGATTGAATTCCCCCAAAGGCCAAATAAACTTCAGTTCAGGATATCTCCATTGCTATCATCTGTCTGTTTCCACCACCTCCTCTGCGCCAGCTCTAGTACTCTCTGGCAATGTAATAACTTGCATCAGGAAGCTGGTCTGACCAGGAACTCCTTTTTCTGGGTCAATTTATGGCTGGACCAGTTTCTTGGTATAGGGAATTGCAGAGCCACAGACCTGCTCAAATCAATACCTAGAGGGCAAGAGGGGTGCATAGCCAGTGGCAGGGGCAGCTTCTTCAACTGCAGAATGAATTTGTGCAGGATACAAGTACCAGGATAACTTCACCATAAGGAGCCAGCGCTTGGGTTACAATTTGTTTTTGTTTTCTAAGCCTGAGTTTAAACTTGGACCTTATTTTTGTCAGAGGATGGTTATGCTGCAGGTCAGCCAAAGCATTATATCTGTCTGATGTAAAGGCTAAAGAGATAAACTGAAGTCTGATAGCATTTGTCTCTTCTGTAGATGTGGAGAAAATAGTTTATTCACTTCATTTGAATCAACAACTTAGTTCATGTATTATCTCACTGAAAGTTGAGAAATCGACTAGAAATTACTTTAAAAAAAAGGCAGATAAGCTACTTGTGCTGAGAATAAAATGAAGGATCAGTGTCTGGGGCATGTTATTTGTAAATCTTTAAAGATATAAGAAAAAAGTTACATTACTTATCTGCAGTTCATACTCTCCTTTTTCGTGAGCAAGTTAGTTTTTAAATGTAAAACATTTTATGTAAACATAATTCATGTGCGTTGAGCACATTTGAGGCAATTTTATTCATTAAACCAGATTTAAACTCCTGGTTTTGTGTACTTTTAATGAATTCCAACCCTTTATCCAAGTGCAGCTTGGCATAGATCATAAGTAATCATTAGCCAGCAAATAAAAACCACTTTTCTAGTTCAGTAACTGAACGCTGACAAGCTAAAGAGCTGTATCTTTAAGATAGTGCAATTCTTAGTTATGTGTGTAAACACTATGCAAACTCCTCTGCCATAGGAAACTTTATGTATGTTACCCTTACATGTTGCCAAACACATTTAAGTGAGTGCTGACTCATGAAGGTCAGCTTTTCTTTAAGAAATAAATTACAAATACCAAATAGGGGATGAAGGTGGAAATCAAGGGTGCTAGCTTCTTGCTTACATTTTGTGACATATGTTAGCGACTTAATCCACTGTGAAATATTTTGTGGTGGAACATTCCTCTAAATAAAGAAAGTGCAATTTAAAGAAAAGCAGCAATGCAGATCTTTTTCTTAAATTCACAGTGCGTGTGAATAAAGAGTAACCATTGTAAGAAAGGGAATCTGGGAGAAGAAATAACGTCAACCCTCAACCTTTTGTTTATTGTAACTTCTTTGAATGTGTTTCCAACAGAAAATGATCCACAGCCTGTTTCTTATAAACTGTTCTGGTGATATATTCTTGGAGAAGCACTGGAAGAGTGTTGTGAGCCAATCTGTGTGTGATTATTTCTTTGAAGCTCAGGAGAAAGCAATCGATGTTGAGAATGTGCCTCCTGTCATCTCAACGCCACATCACTACCTCATCAGCATCTATCGGGATAAAATCTTCTTTGTGTCTGTCATACAGACAGAAGTGCCACCACTCTTTGTAATTGAATTTCTACACCGAGTAGCAGATACTTTCCAGGTCTGTCACCATTAAATAATTTTTAAATTTAAATAATTCCAAGGGAATTTTTGTATAAACTTATTTTAAAGAAAGGTAATAAACCCTCTTGTCAGTGACTTTCCCCTTTACAATTTTTAAGTCAAGCACTGGTTTATAGAGTACAAAGGAAAAGAAGGTATAGCTTGTGTATTCATTTTATTTATAGATACCGGTGCATATGCACTAAAACCCAAATCCCACTTTGTAAATGCTGTCTTTTTTCTGTAAGCTTTTGTACTGTTGATGTTACATAGACGAACAAGAAGGAGCTTGCAGTCATGAAGCACTCTGTAGGGAGGAAAGCGATGCAAAGCGTGAGTCAGTTTTCAACCTATTTCACAGACATTGTAAATAAAGGAACCTCTGTGAAGACTGGACACTGCTAAAAGGTATTCTCCTTATTTTACCGGAGTCTTCTAACTGAAGATGTGTTAATGTTCACAAGTGGGAGAACCCTTGGCACATACATACTAGTAAACCAGATTACATTAATTTCACTGTTCACGCTGTCATTATCTCTAATTAGATGATACATGTAAACATATGATGCAATCAGACTATACAAGTAGCTAGTCATTTTAGGTACTAAAATTCCTTGATATACTGGAGGGTTTCTGTAAGCAAAAAAACCCCAAACTTTTGCAAAGCATTATAACAGGAATAAAAATCCTCTCCTTTGTAATCTCTGATTTGTTTAGGATTACTTCGGCGAATGTTCTGAGACTGCAATTAAGGACAATGTAGTTATTGTGTATGAACTTCTAGAAGAAATGTTAGACAATGGCTTTCCACTGGCAACAGAATCTAACATATTGAAGGAGCTGATTAAGCCTCCCACAATTCTGCGCTCTGTTGTCAACTCCATCACAGGTATGAAAATAAATAATTTTCAGCGGTGACTGGATACTTAGAAACAAAGCCCCATCGTGCTCCATAGCTAAAAAATATCATATTGGTGTGAATCTGTAAGGTGAGGCCACTGTCCTGCCACTTCTCACAATTAAGAGTTGAATAAAAACAATTTCCTCCTTATTTGCAGTTTATGCCTGGCCCCTTTGATATTCCCAGTGGCATTGTCTGGTCCGGCCACAGCTGCCCAAGTCCCTCAGGAACAGCAGTTCCCAGCACAGACAGCACATATTGGAGACAGGTGCTCTGGGATTGGTACAGAGCTAGCCCCAAGCCTTGAATAACTGAGGGGCATTGGAGGAGGTTATGCATTTTATAGGAAATCATTATAGAAAGGTATATCACAGATATCTAATAAATCTTTGCTGGCTGGGAACAGGTAGCGTGAAGGGAAGCAAATAGCCTGTCCTCTGCCTCCTCCACCCCCACCACCATCAGTATCCTTCAAGTTCGGAGCAGGTTTCAGGCCGTTGTAAGTGGGTATGCCTTGCACTGACAGAGCCAAATGTCAGTCAGCTGAGCTGGTGGAATCTGCTTGTCTGGCAGGCGGGTGCAAGGGAGGTCCGCCATGAGGTGTCACGTGGGGTCAGAGCTATGCGAGATGTTCGCCTGTACATCGTGTTAGGGAAGGGTAGTAGGTGGGCTGCGGGGCCACACCGAGGTGGTGCTCAGAGGAGCTGGCCTTTGAGGTAGCACATGTGGTTTAATCTTTGCATGTAAATCTCATCAGTTTTAATCTCTGGGTTTGGGTTGGTTTTTTTTAAATGAGGTTTTGCATGTTAGCAGTTATACTTGAGAAAAATATCTGTGACGTTAATGGCCTAGATGCACCACTGGAAGGGGAATTAAGACTCCTGAAGCCAAGGGTTGCAGCATCAAATCCTCTTGTTTTATCTGAAGCCTTGTTAGAATTCCCCAGGAGCCTAAAGCGCCTGCCCAGGGCAGCCTGCATCTTGTCACTGTCAACAGCTCAGCGCTGAGCAGCTGGGAAAGGGCAGCCTGAGAGCTCTCCCACCTACCTGGCCTGGCAGCCCAGCCTGCGTAGCGCTGCCGCACCCTGCAAGGCTGCTGAGGGGCACGGGGCATGGACACGGCCACTGCTCCCCTTCAGAGATGCAGCGGGAGTGAGGAAATGGTTGCAACTCCTCCGCCATGTGTTACAGCACCAAGGTGGACTTCAGGGAGGGATTTTTCTGTGTGCAATTACTAGCTCAAAAGAATGAAAACTTCTGCTTTCTGCCCAGTAGGAGAGGGCTTACCCAGCAGATTGTGTAGAAATGGTAGCCGCTGGCCTCTCCGTGAAGCTGTCTCAATCAGCAGGAGAGACTACCAGATTTGTTGTGCTGATGGGCACAAGCAAGCATGAGCTGTAGCCCTGTGCTGAGACCTACTTGTAGCAGAGGGAGTTGTTTCCACTCTAGTGGGATTCCAAGATCAGTCACCTAAGCCCCAGAAGTGATAAGATTTTTTTTTTTCCTCCTTTTTAAGAATCATCAGTTTATTTTATAACTAGGTAGCTCAGGAAGCCTTTTTCTCACGGTGAATGGTATTAAGGACTACGAGCTGAGGGTGACAGCAAGGCAGGCAGAGGCAGTGGCATCACTGTTAAGGAGCTCAGAAGTTGAGTCAACAGGTCAGGGTCAGGATTGGGATCTGATGATAACAGGGTCATCTACAGCTCAGTGATTGCCAGGGAAGTTAATCATGATGAGACAGGCCAAGCCAGAAAGTCAAGTCTTTGGGCCAGGATCTGGATCGATTTGGCACATGATCAGGTGTAGGTGTGGCTGTCATGTTGCTGCAGGGGAGCTCAGATGGGTAACCAAGGGTGAGAGCCTCAGCCTAACAGCTCCCAAGCAAAGGGCCCTAAATCTTCTTCCAGGTCTTTCTTCGTAACAACTCTTATCAGTAAATCAGCCCTGAAGTCAGCCAACTAAAACTCTTAGGAGAAGGGGGAAACATCCTTAAGGCCCTCACACTGAGCTGTAATGTCTTGAAGTGTAGTGATGAAATCCACTGCAGGATCTAGCCCCACATCTACTCCCACTCCTACCTCCTGCTGACCTGAGCCTTGTATTTTGCTGTGCAAAGTATAGCCTGAAAACCATAAGTCTGTTCATATCCTTAAAGTGCATTCACATCACCTAATTAATGAAATTTTAGTGGTCCAGGTTCTAGTCTGCAGTTCTTGGGGAATAATCTTGCTTTGATTCTTATTTTTGTCAGTTGATTGTAATTAATGACTGAATTTGAGTTCCTTTTTGTTTTTAAGGCAGCAGTAATGTGGGTGATACACTTCCCACTGGACAGTTGTCCAACATTCCTTGGCGCAGAGCAGGGGTAAAATACACAAACAACGAAGCCTATTTTGATGTCATTGAAGAAATTGATGCGATTATAGACAAATCAGGTAAGATGCCTTGCAAACTCATTTTTGTTGAATATGTTTACATTTATCTGCTGATGTTTAGAGAGAATACAGTCCAATCACATGTTTTATATACATGAATCTATCTCTTAAATAGAAATAATACAATTTAAAATGACATGCCCAAATGTATTTTTTCAGTGTATCCTAAAGTAGCAATATGGTCTAGGCTGCTTCAAGAACATCCACAATAAATATTCTGCACTTAGATGTTTTCTCATTGTACACTGATTATCTCTTAAAGAGATATAAATGGACAAAAATAGTTGAAGTTTTAAATGTGATGAGAAAATTATCTTCCATTGTTCCTGCCAACTGCAGTCCTTGTAGGACCTCAAATGAGCAAGACAAAAGCTCTCATTAGCTTTCTCCTGATAGCAAGACAAAACTTGGTGCAAAATAGCTGGACAGTGTAGTTTTCCTGATATATAAACTGGAGCCAGATATTAGGAAGCATAATAATACTCCTTTCTTGTCTGTAAATGAAACATATCTTCAAATACAAAAATCTTTAACCTGAGATTTAACTCTGAGGAGTAATCTGATAACTTCTGTGTAAATGTTGCCAGTGCCAAGAAGTAGAAAAAAAATGATCCAAGAAGAAAACTGCTGTGCCGTGGGTATGAGCCTGCTGTTTTATTCATTACTGGGGCCATCGGTAGCTAAAGCTGAAGACTGCATGACACCATTTTGTGGTGGTATGGGGCAGGGAGCAAATCTCTGATTTCTTCATTCAGTGCTGCTGCTGTAGCAGTAGTCAGTGTTGTTTGGGTTCCATACACCAATTCGACAAATGCTTTGGCCGCTATTGAACTGGGTAGTCATAAATAGCCATCATGCAGCTCTTGACTCTCACCATCTTGAAACTAAAAGAAGGTGGCAATCACTGTCAGAACACCCCGACGGCTGTGTTACTCTCCTAGCTCAACGAGATTCCCAAGAGTAGTACGAGTGCTTAGTCTGAGGAGTTATAATCAAGACCATGTTTGTATTTCTGTGTGTATTTCAAGCCCAATCAATAGTGTCCACAGAGTGTTTAAAATCCCTACTGAGGATCCACTGCAGTAGTCATAGCTACTCTTTTCTGCTCTGATTCCCTGGGGACTAGCAATGCAAGAACCTTTCTTCCTAACCTTCCCTAGGGCTAAGAAGTAGGTAAGGTTGCTCCCCTAGAATACGGATGTTACCTTGTTTCTCAGGGATATGGTAACTGCTTTCATCTGAAACAGGATCCCTTATTTTCAGGCAAACTATTAACCCAGTTTCTCCTTCCCCTTGAGTAGATCAGCAATAGTTTCCACCTATCTTCTAAAATAACCTTTGCTTGTAGGGCTAATTAGTCCAGAGTTCTGGTCATACCTTTCTGTCCTTATAAGGCATTTAAGGAAATGAGCCTTTCCTGGGTAAGGTGCTTGGTATTCTTGCTTTGGGGTTGGGTTTGGGGGGTTTTTTGCTATAGATTTATTTAATATCAAGATGAATATGTAATCCCACTGTTAAGCAAGCCATGCTTTTGAAAGCCAAGGTTATCTGGAGCTTTATAGCACAAACTTTTGTGTTTTGATGTTGACTGTTTTGATGTGCTTCAAATTCCCTGCACCACTACACAGCTTGCTAGTTTTCTGGAGACAGGGGACAGGGATGAAAGAAAGGAACATTCAGAGCTTGCATATTCTGAAATTCTTACATGCTCATTGCTGGCAACCAGTCCAAGCACATCCAGTACGAGTCCTGTGTAACAGCTGGCACAAGTATAATTACCTGATTTGGGATAAGCTGTTTGCTTTGGCTCACGTATTTTACCAAGCTGCTCAGGCCACAGGTAACTGGAATGACCTTTCCTATCTGTGCTTGGCATGTTCTTGAGTGTTGTGCAAATGTCATCTGTGCCCTCTGGCTGCACTTCACAACGTTTGTAAGGCCCTTGATAATAATGTTAAGTCAAGTGTCTTTTTTTTTTTCCCCGCAGGTTCCACAGTCTTT